GTGGGATATCTACGCAGCAGATTCCTTGCTTGAGCAACCACCGAGGGAAACTACTTTGGCGCCGATTCTGGAAGTTACCAGCTCCGCGTTTGTGGTACCAACCCCTCGCATGGTTCTGAACACAAGGGATACGCTGAGCAGCACTTCGCATGCGCTGTTGTACTCAAGGCAGTGTGACTAGCAGACCGCGTGGTGGACAGGGTTACTACTAGTGATTCTGCTCTCCATTCCGCAGCACTACGATGCCGAGTGGGTACGACTCGCGACAACAATACGGCATGGACCAGCATTCGACAGAAGCTGCATGTAACGGATACAACACTGCGACAGAAGCAGTACTACGACACAACTGCCATACCACCAACACTTGGTGATCTTCACACGTGGACCAGATGCGGGTAACAGCATGCACAGATCGGACAACATAGCCACTCATCTGCACGTTACAGCACACTGTTCCAACCATTCACATCTCCAACTCCGACTTGCATCTGCCCGTCCTGGAGTTTGCCTACAAGTATGCTCCTGACGCCGCTACTGGACAGACGCTGTACTTCGTCTGTTACGGACGCCACCCCGATCACACCACAACTTGCACCTACCCATATATCACTGACGGCGATACACACCATCCTTCATTGCCATGGACGGAACCTTCCTCACTCCGTAGCAACAGACAGTTCTTGCTACACTTCAACTGGCTTTCGATTTCATTGCCATCGTCCACCATCGTGTACATCGACCACACAAGCACCTCTTGGACATCCAACATCAGCACAAGCACTTGGCAACTCATCACTACCCTTCTCGAGACAATAATCTCGACATCAGCCAACTTCCATCCAAGCTTCAACCTTGCTTCTGCGGGTCTATCATCGTTGAAGCAAGGGCCACTTCAGTCAACTTCCGCTTCCGCCTACCAGCCACTTGGAAGATCCATAACACCTTCCATACCAGCTTCTTAAACCCTATCAAGACCAAAAACGCTCTACACCGAATGCCAACCACTGTCGTCGCCCGTGTTCATCCACGACATGGGACAACTACGTACTTGGACACCGTCATCGTCCGACTGGCACTCTGGAGCTTCTTCTTTGCTGGAAGGGTTATGATACTTCTGAGGCTGCGTCTCTGAAACCGACATGGGTAACGCCCGTCGTCCTCTGCATGACTACCTTGTCAAGCAGGGTGTTACTTGTACCACCCAGCTTTGAGGGGGGGAAGTGTGAGAGTACGACCCCGTTACACCAATTTCCCCTTTTCATATTTCCTATCTATTTCATTCCTCTTTCACTCCGATTCATTTGGTCTTTATCTTATCTCATTTGGTTTCCTATTCCTCATTTTCCATTATCCTTTGGTTTATCCTGTTATTATAATTATATCACCGACCAGGCTCGGGATGTACTGGCGCGCTATATCTAGCGTAATCCTGTCGTAATCCCTTAAAGCCAATAGCCTCGCGTGGCTATACGCAGGGTGATTCTATTTCTAGAAGGGTCTATTTCCTTTGGATAGGATAAACCTGGTTACCTGATGTAATCTGGAAGTATAAAAGCCCCTTGTACTGATTGATAGTGGAACATTGAGCAAACCTTTCCTCGGGACATTCCATCCTGTGACAGGTAGGATCAAGCGGCCAACAGAGGCGGAAGCAGGTGTGGAGTAACGCTCAACTACTGCAGCGAGAAAGTCCTTGGCATTCGCGATAGCTGTAAAGCGCAGACACTCAGACAAGGGGAGGGCATGGCTAATGGCAAGCTGGGCTACTACGTCGCGAGAATCCCAGACAGCTCGAGCAAGCGCAGCAGCAGCAAAAGCCTCGCTCTCAACAGTGGTAGGGTCAGGAGGGAGGGGACCAGGCGCAGGGGGGCGGGGAAGCAAACCATCAACATGCATAGCCAGGGAGTGCCCATCCAGGCGCTGACCTGTCAGGTGCCGGCGGAGGTCGACGAGCCAGGCGGCGAAGTCGATCGCGTGCCCCTCAGCGTCCAAGCGAAGAACGGCGTCCGCTGTCGCACAGTGTGACAGCGGCACAGCGGCTCAGCGGCGCAGCGACTCGGCGGCTCGGGGACACGGCGGCTCGACAGCTCAGGGGACGAGGTCAGTTAGGGCGCAAGGGGCCGGCAAGGGCGCGTGGGGCCAGCTGGTAGGAGCACGAGGGGCCGTAGGGGCGCGAGGGGACGGTAGGGGAGCGGGGGCCGACTAGGGCGCGAGGGGCCGGTAGGGCGCGACAGGGCCGGCTAGGGGCGCGAGGGGTCGTAGTGGCGCGCGGGGCCGGCTAGAGGCGCAAGGGGCCGGTAGGGGCGCGACGGGGCCGGCTAGGGGCGACAGGGCCGTAGGAGCGCGACGGGGCCGGTAGGGGCGAGACGGGGCTTGCTAGGGGCGCGACGGGGCTGTAGGGGTGCGACGGGGCGCGTAGGGGGGCCGCGGGGGCCAGCTAGGGGTGCGAGGGTTCGGTAGGTGGCAGCACGGGGCGGAAGCGGGTGGGTGGACCTACCTACTCGTGATACATGTTGAGACTAGAAAGAATGAATAGAAGGGAGAACAGGGGAGATTTAGCGTTTGGGTTGTACCCACTTAGAACATACCCTATCTAGCCTATACTTCTACGTAACAATATATGTATAAATTGACGAAGGCTGCATGTGAACTGTAAAGATAAAGTATGTACGCATCTCCAAATTAATTGACGGTTATTCTATAGGGACTATAGAATATCACATATTTTGAGTAACCAGGCGATTGTCTTCGATTACAATGAGTCCTACAATATATGCAACACCTACCATGCTATGCACATTGCGGACTACAGTGAATGTATGCACAAGACAGCTTGCAGCTTGTTTTCGTAATCACAGCTGCACTCGGAGAAAAGTTACATTGAGAATGTCACAGGGCTTGCCTTAGTCAAGTCCAGTAGTTCCTTGGCCTGGAACAAATGCTTGAACCTGGAGCAGAGTACCGAGCCATTGGAGCAGAAACAGAGGCCAAACAAACATGGGGAAACGATAACAAGCTTAGGCATGACGGTACAATGAAAAGTACAAAGCTTCAATGGAAGTGGCAATCCAAGGTGCTGGCTCATATAGGTATGAACAAACCGAAATGCCCCCAATGGAAACCCTAGCTGATGACACAAGCAAAGGGGCACCAAGGCTTGAATCTGGCTCTCTCTCGAACCTTTCATCAGTGCCTTTCCTCCGAAAATTAACACCAAATTGCCGAATCATGACAGAAGCGCATCAAAGGACGTGATCAGGGAGCATACATGGTCAGAGAGTGACCACCCACTTGAAAGCTCGTTTAGAAAGCATCGGAGTCTAGGGTTACGCAACAACAGATTGCAGCAGTTCGTCATAGCATTCAACAGCGTGTGATACTAAAGGTGTGTCAGAGGACCCTAGTTCAGATCAGATCAGCCTCTCGCCTTCTCCGTACCAATGCTCCCTGCTCAAGGTAAAGACAGGAGCATCACCCTGAGAAAACGCCCTTGAGCGTGAAGCGGTTCGACAAGTCCAGGAAACGCCCTCGTCATTGCACATCCGCCCGCCCTATCACATGACCACAGCCGTCGATGACTATGCCCCTCATCCAGTTCCCCCCACCCGTTGAGCGTGACTAAAACGAGGCCATAAATCAATCCCCAGATAGGAATCCATTGCATCCTGCCCCTGAACAACGAGGTTTGGCACGAATAGTAATTTCCCTCACCTATGGCGTGTGACTATAGCGAGGTCATTGCGGGGCCTCGCGGAACGCATGCATCTTCTGCATGCGCCGCAGGAACAGATCGTACTCGCACTTCTCGTGCGAGTGCCGCTCGTCGCCGCACTTCCATGCGTGAGGAGTCAATTTTTTAGGCGCCTCAAACATAGACTCCTCGCGTAGGAACAGCTCGTACTCGCACTTCTCGTACGAGTGCCGCTCGTCGCCGCACTTCCACGGCTCTCGAGAAGGGTTGTGAGGCGCGTCAGCTCTCGAAACCCCACAGCTTTTTTCAAACGAGTTATGAGGCGCCTAAGAAAAGTCACCCGTCTATGTCCTCATCCACGCATCCACTCTCCCTCACCTCACCTATCGCGCGTGCTTATATCGGTTCATTGCGTGGCCTCGCGGAAGGCCTCCATCTTTTTCATCCGCCGGAGGAACAGCTCGTACTCGCACTTCTCGTACGAGTGTCGCTCGTCGCTGCACTTCCACGGCGCGAACAGCGTCTCCGTGCGGCACCGGTTCAGCGGAATCAGCAGGTGCGCGCACAGATCGCGCGCGCCCAGGCTCAGCCGCGCCTGCGCCATCTCCTCCTCCGACACCAGCGGCTTCTCCGGAGCGGACATGGCGGCGAATCGACGAATGAGAGCGGCGAATCGAATTGAACGGAGTCTCCTTCCTCCGACTCGACGCGATGTATGAAAGAATGAGAGTCTTTTCTTGGCGTGATCTTGTAAGGGTTCGGCGCGCTGCAAGAGTGGGAGAATGGTGGTAGGCGGGTGCAGGCGGGCTGGAGCAGGAGCAGTGGGCGGAGTTGGAAGTGGAGGTGGTGTGGCGGACAATGCAGGCACTCGAGGAACAAACCTCTATACCCGCTGCAAGCACAAAACAGAGTGCAAGAGTACTGTGTGGTGTCTGAGCTTATGGGGGAAAGGATAAATATGGTATATGATTTTCAGATTCAATAGAATCGATTTTGTTTCTCACCAGCTGATTGATACTTGATGTTATCATACATATTGAAGTTTGTATTTAACTGTCTAACCATTTCTATTAAGTGGTTTCGTTGATTTGTGCAATCCATCCCTTATCATCATTGATCGCGTGAATATTTAATTATGGCCCAAACCTGAGAGTGAAGTTTTGCAAATAATAGCAAATCAGTAAGTTAGGTAAGAGATGCGCATGCATTGTTTATCAGATTATCGGGGTCGGCCTGCAACGAGCCGGCGGGTAAAATCTGACATGAGGACTTACTACACCGACACGGTTCCAGATTCCAGAATTGCATTTCCCTCTCACATCGCCTTAGTAGTGTCATTAGTAGTGTCTTGCTGATCAATGCAACTGCCATCTAACTAACCCTACGGCAAGATGTCATCAGACGGAAATCCAGCCAGCGGCGGCAATGGCGTCTCCGGGCAATCCCCGCAAGACTCGATGCGCACGCCGGCGCAAACCCCGCAGGGATCCATGCGAACGCCGGAGCAGACCCCGCTAACTCCGCGGGATTCTGGGCGATCGAGCTCGCCTCAGCTGCACCTGACGCCTCGCGCGAGCGCCGGCAGTCCGTACAGCTCGCAGCAACCCACCTTCCGATCCACGTGCGTCACGCTCGCGCACTCGCTCGCTCGTTTCCCTAATCTTGGCTCCCCCTGCGGTTGTCCGCTTTATGGGTCGCTCGTTTTCTTGGCGGAGCCATTTCTTGTCAGTTCAGGCGGATCTGTCGTGGTTATATGTATATTCAAAACGCCTTGCTGATGGGAAAAAGGAAGAAAGGTCCTATTTTGGGAGAAAAAAAGGAAAAAGTCATCGAAGTTATTTTTTTGTGGATAAACTCATGGAGGTTGTTCCTATTTTACCTTCTTGACTCAATTGAAATAACTCGTCTTGTCGTCTGACGGTTTCCGTCAAACGTCAACCCGTCTTCCTGTCTATCCTGTCCTGTTCCTTTCGCATCTCATAGTTCCTTTCTTGACCATTCCCGCCCCCCCATTCTTGACCATTCCCGCCCCCCCCATTCTTGACCATTCCCGCCCCCCCATTCTTGACCATTCCCGCCCCCCCCATTCTTGACCATTCCCGCCCCCCCATTCTTGACCATTCCCGCCCCCCCATTCTTGACCATTCCCCCACTCTTGACCATTCCCCCACTCTTGACCATTCCCCACTCTTGGCCATTCCCACCACCTCCTCGCCATTCAGTCCGTCCTTCCCCAGAAGCGACCTGGGCGGCTCCATGGCTCAGCGTCGCAGGTTCCACCGCCGCAGGCAGGGTGCATCGGGGCAGGCCGCATCCGGGGGAGGTGTGCCTTCAGGCACGCCTGTCAGCACGCCAGGGCCGCCTGAGCCGTCAGATAGCATGGTAGGTGGCATTGGCTTTTGAGTCGCCTCAAGAGTGCAACGGGGCAGGCGGTATCTGGGGGAGGTGCGCCTTCTGGCACACTTGTCGGTCAGCACGCCAGGGCCACCAGAGCCATCAGATAGCATGGTAGGTGAAACTGTGATATGCAGGCCCTCTCTTTCCTCTTCCCTCTCCCTCTTTTACTTCCTCTCCCCACCCCCTACCACACTCTACAACTCCCCCCACCCGCCCGTTTCACTCCGCTCACCTTCCCCTCTGCTCACTCCATGGCAGGGAGGGAACTCAGGGCAGGACAGGATGTGGTGGGAGCAGTACCAGCGGCAGCAGCAGCCGCAGCTGTAGCAGCAGCAGCTGGTGATACTGCCTGGGAGGCGCCTGAGCATCACACTTGTTACCCATCCCTTCGCCCTTATCACTTCGCTTATTCCACGCCAGGGAGGGAACTCGGAGCAGGACAGGATGTCGTGGGAGCAGTACGGCAGCAGCAGCCGCAGCTGTAGTAGCAGCAGCTGGTGATACTGCCTGGGAGGCGCCTGAACATCACACTTGTTACCCATCCCTTCGCCCTTATCACTTCGCTTATGCCACGCCAGGGAGGGAACTCGGAGCAGGACAGGATGTGGTGGGAGCAGTACCAGCCGCAGCAGCATCCGCAGCTGTAGCAGCAGCAGCTGGTGATACTGCCTGGGAGGCGCCTGAACATCACACTTGTTACCCATCCCTTCGCCCTTATCACTTCGCTTATGCCACGCCAGGGAGGGAACTCGGAGCAGGACAGGATGTCGTGGGAGAAGTACCAGCAGCAGCAGCAGGCGGCGATTCCACCTGTGAGCACCTGAAAAGCACACTTGTTGCCCTCCCTTCTCCCCCCCCCCCCCCCCCCTGCACACTTCGCTTATGCCACGCCAGGGAGGGAACTCGGAGCAGGACAGGATGTCGTGGGAGCAGTACCAGCAGCAGCAGCAGCATCGGCAGCCGCAGAGGGGTAGAGGAGGAGCAGCAGCTGCAACAGCAGCAGGGGCAGCAGGGGCAGGGGGAGCAGGGAGAGCAGGGGCAGGGGGAGATGCGCTTGGGGGAGAGGCGGAGGCGATGGGGGAGGAGGGGGAGGAGGAGCTGGAGGGAACGTACGTGTGGGGCACGGGGGTGAGCGTGCAGGACGTGTCGAGCAAGTTCGCGTCGTTCGTGCAGCACTTTAGAGAGGCAGACGATGCTATCCACGCCAAGTACTCGCAGCAGCTGGACGAGGTAAAAATGGGGGGGGATGCGGTTGGGGCGGGAGGGGGGGTGGCGTGATGGTGATGGAGATGAGGGGTAAGAGAGGGATGAGGGGATGAGAGCAAACGAGATGGCATCGTTCGTGCAGCACGTCAGAGAGGCGGACGATGCTATTCACGCCTAGTACTCGCAGCAGCTGCACGAGGTGAGGATCAGTGGGACGAGGGGATGTGAGAGGGATAGATAAGGGAGGGTGATGGAGTGAGAGCAAGCAAGTCTTTGTCGTTCGTGCAGCACTTTAGGGAGGCGGACGATGCTACTCACACCCAGTACTCGCAGCAGCCGGACAAGGTGAGGGGGAGTTCAGGGTTTAAGGTTGCGGGTTTAGGGTGAGAGGGATGAGGGCAAGGGAGCACACAAGAGGGATAATAGGTTAATGAGGAAATACTACTCGTGTTCTCCTCCTGCTTGTCACATGTCATTATATTCCAAACTACTCGTGTAAATCTGTCTTTTCTCACTTAAGCCACCTGCCCCTGCATCTCTTCCACAGTGGCACACATACACCAGCTGGTGGAGATGGAAGGAGACACATTCCCCGTGGACTGCGTATGCCTTCTCTGGTTCTCAGTCCCTCCCAAATCCCCTACCACTTCCATACCCCCCCCCCCCCCCCTCCCCCTTCACACACACACTGATGATGATGGAGGGAGACAAAGAATTCTAAAAAACATTCCCTGTGGACTGTGCTGACGTGTACGCCTTCTCTACCAAGCAGTCCCTTCCAAACCCCCCAACCAATCCCCCACCTTTCCCCGTTCCCCCTTCCTCCCTCCCCTCCCCCCCCTCCCCCCACACCCGCACAACACACAATCACGCACGGGCACCGTTCTAGTGGACTGTTCTGACGTGTGTGCCTTGCCTTCTCTGCAGTGCCATATCCAATCCCCCCCTTCCGCCCTCTCCCTTTCCACCCCCCCTCCATCCCCCTCGGCCACATCCCCCTCGGCCACATCCCCGATTCCCTTCATCCCGTCAGCTGGTGGAGATGGAGGGAGACAGCTTCCCACTGGACTGCACATGCCTTCTCTGCCTCTCAGCCTTTCCCAGATGGGTGGTCTCCCAAACCCCCATCAATTCCACATTCCCCTCCCCCTCACATTTCAATCACGCCAGCTAGTAGAGATGGAAGGAGATACATTCCCTGTGGACTGTGCTGACGTGTACGCGTTCTCTGCTGAGCTGTACCGCATGCTTGTGCGCTACCCATTGGAGGTCATCCCGATCTTCGACATCAAGATTGCTGAGCTGGCGGCCGACCGCATGCCCATGTGGGACAAACACATCCAGGTGGGCGGTATAAGCACATCTGTTACGAGCACACCCAGGTGGGTGTTTTTACCGCATCTGTCACAAGCACATCTTGGTGGGTGTCTTAGGCATGTCTGTTACAAGCAAATCCAGCTGGGTTTTTGAGTCGACTAAAAAATCGACTCATTACACCCAGCTGGGTTTTCCCCCCTTTTGTTCCTTTGCCACTCCTCCTTCTCTTCCCGTTCGTTCCTACCTACGCCACCCCCTCCCCTCCCCCCCTCAGGTGCGCACGTTCAACCTGCGTGACACGGTGCACATGCGCGATCTCAACCCCTCAGGTGTGTATTCCATACCCTCCAAAGCACGCCCCTGTAGCCGTACCTCATGCATCGTTCTGACCGCCATGGCATTGTAATCTCCTCTTTCTGTAATCTCATCTTTCTGAAATCTCCTCTTTCTGTAATCTCATCTTTCTGAAATCTCCTCTTTCTGAAATCTCCTCTTTCTGAAATCTCCTCTTTCTGAAATCTCCTCTTTCTGAAATCTCCTCTTTCTGAAATCTCCTCTTTCTGTAATCTCATCTTTCTGAAATCTCCTCTTTCTGAAATCTCCTCTTTCTGAAATCTCCTCTTTCTGAAATCTCCTCTTTCTGAAATCTCCTCTTTCTGAAATCTCCTCTTTCTGTAATCTCCTCTTTTTGTGCTTTCTCTCCCCACGCCGACCAGGCATTGATGCGCGGGCAGCAGTGTGGGGCGTGGTCATCCGCACCTCCTCCATCATTCCTGACATAAGAGCAACTCTTGTCCCACCTTTCACCCTCTCCCCTCTCTCCTCTCCCCTCTCCCCTCTCCCCTCTCCCCTCTCCCCTCTCCTCTCTCCCCTCTCCCCTCTCCTATTCCATTCCAACCAGATATTGATGCCGAGTGGCCGCAGGGGGCATGGTCAACTGCTCCGCACGCCCTCCATCATCCCAGGCATCAAGGCTGAGGAGTCTATTTTTCAGGCGCCTCAAAATAGACTCCTCATGCTCCAGTGGCCGCAGGGGGCATGGTCATCCACACCGCACGCCCTCCAGCATCCCAGGCATCAAGGCTGTTAGTGTCAAGTGCCTTGTGTGCCTCCGCCTCCCCTCTCTCTCCCTTCCCGCTCCTATTCCATTAAAACTAGACATGGAGGCAGTGGTGGTCGTAAGGGGCGTGGTCATCGCACGCCCTCCAGCATCCACGGCATCAAGGCTTGTCCTCCCCTGTCCCCTTGCCTGTCTCCCCCTGCTTCCTCTCCTTCCCAATCAGACATCAACGCCCTGGTGGTCGTGCGGGGCGTGGTGATCCGCACGTCGTCCAACGTCCCCGGCATCAAGGCTTGTCCTCCCCTCCTCCCCTCCTCCCCTCCTCCCCTCCTCCCCTCCTCCCCTTGCCTGTCACCCCTCTCTCACCCCCGTCTCCCCTCCTACACAACCAGACATCGATGCTCTGGTGGCCGTGCGGGGCATGGTGATCCGCACGTCGTCCATCATCCCAGACATCAAGGCGGCCTGCTTCAAGTGTCTGGTGTGCGGCCACTCGCCCGACCTCGTGCTTGTAGACAGGGGTAAGCAGAACCACGTCATTGCTTTGCCCCTCTCCTCCCCCTTCTCTTCCCCTTCTCTTCCCCCTTCTCTTCCCCCTCCCCCTTCTCTTTCCCGTTCTCCTCCCCCTTCTCCTCCCCCTTCTCTTCCCCCTTCTCTTCCCCCTTCTCTTCCCCCTTCTCTTCCCCCTTCTCTTCACCCTTCTCCTCCCCCTTCTCTTCCCCCTTCTCTTCCCCCTTCTCTTCCCCCTTCTCTTCCCCCTTCTCCTCCCCCTTCTCCTCCCCCTTCTCCTCCCCCTTCTCTTCCCCCTTCTCCTCCCCCTTCTCCTCCCCCTTCTCTTCCCCCTTCTCTTCCCCCTTCTTCTCTTCCCCCGTCTCTTCCCCCTTCTCTTCCCCCTTCTCTTCCCCCTTCTCTTCCCCCTTCTCTTCCCCCTTCTCTTCCCCCTTCTCTTCCCCCTTCTCTTCCCCCTTCTTCCCCCTTCTCTTCCCCCTTCTCTTCCCCCTTCGCTTCCCCCTTCTCATCCCCCTTCTCTTCCCCCTTCTCTTCCCCCTTCGCTTCCCCCTTCTCATCCCCCTTCTCTTCCCCTTTTCTTTACCCGCTAACCTTCTCACCTCGAATACTTGAAGTGCCTGGTGTGCGGTCATTCTTCGACCTCAGGATTTAGGGTTTCGGATGTAGATTTTTAGGGTTAAGGGTTTCAGGTTTAGGGTTGACCGAGGTAAGCCAGTTCAACATCAAGCAGACGCTATGACTGACTGTAGGACACACCTCTTCCCTTCCTGGTCTTCCCATCTGCCCTTTCCTCTCCGCGCCCTCCCCCCTCCCCCCACCCTCCGCTGTTGCTATTCATCAGGGGTAATAGAGGAGCCAAGGAGGTGCCCGTGGCCCGAATGCGGGGCTCTCAACCGCATGACGCTGGTGCACAACCGGAGCCGGTTCATCAACAAGCAGATGCTGCGGCTGCAGGAGACACCTGAGAACATCCCTCCCTTCTCTCCCCTACCTTTTTCCCCTCCCTTTCCAACCTTCCAGGAGTGATAGAGGAACCCAGGAGGTGTCCCTGGCCAGAGTGCGGGGCGCTGAACAGCATGACCCTGGTGCACAACCGGAGCCGGTTCATCAACAAGCAGATGCTGCGCCTGCAGGAGACACCTGAAGACATGCCTGAAGGGGAGACCCCGCACACGGTGTCTGTGTTCCTGTTTGACTCGCTGGTGGATACTGCCAAGCCGGGAGATAGAGTGGAGGTGAGAGGATGATTGTGTGCACACAGAGGGGTTGTGAACGGTGTTGCTGTTTGATTCATCGGTGGATACTGCCAACCCGGACGATCGGATGGAGGTGAGGGGTTGCTACTTCCATGCACAAAGAGGGGTTTAGCGGCTGCAGGAGACATCGGAAGACATGCCGGAGGGGGAGAACCCCCACACGGTGTCTGTGTTCCTGTTTGACTCGCTCGCAAATACTGCGAAGCCGGGCGATAGAGTGGAGGTGAGATGGTTACCACATGGAACCAGATTGGGTGTATTGAGTAGAGAGGGACATGCCTGAGGGGAAGACCGCCCGCATTGTGCCTGGCTGGGGCAATAATGGGGGAACCCTACACCCTAAACTCTACATGTGCTGAGGCAAGAGATGCTGGAACTCTACACTCTAAACTCTGCCCTTGTCCGTGTTTTGAGGCGCCTAGCAACGGCCCTGATCTGGTCTGGTTTGGCTTTTGTGTGTGCCCCTTGGAACGGCCCTCTTGACTCCGAATGCAGGTCACGGGTGTCTTCCGCGCTGTGCCTGTGCGAGTCAACTCCAATCAGCGCAACCTGCGCTCGCTGTACCGGGTGGGTGGTTGGGTGGGTGGGTGGGTGGGTGCTACTTGGCCTCCGCCGCAGAAGTGTGGTGTGGTGATTATGTTGTTGGCGGAGTACCTGACGTTTGTGGCCTAAGGAATAGGCTAGTGAGCTTAGCCCAGTGACCCTGCCCCTTTACTACCAGCGCTTTGTCTCTCTCTTTCTCTCTTCTTTTTTGCTGCAAACTAACATTGACAAAGCGACGTTTTGCTGCATGCAGCTGTTTTGGGGCTATCTGCCAGAAAGGGCAGGCATCCACGTGTCAAAACAGCCCACTCCTTGCTCTTCCGTGGATTCCTCCTGGCTATCCCATGGATTCCTCCTGGCTATCCCGCCCGCATCCCCTTTCCCCTCTCTGCACCAAGCTTCCACTCCTCCTCCCTTCTTCCATTGCCCTCTATCTTCTCCCCCCTCCCCTCCCCCCACCCCCCCCCGGTTCCCCCTCTCAACGAGGAGGGGGGTGCATTTGACGCCGCCCAGAACACCCTTCGTAACCTACCCTTACCCCCCCTCCCTCTCTTCCCCCCCTTCCCCTCTCCCCTCTCAGACCTACCTGGACTGCATTCACATCCGCAAGGAAGAGGGGGGCCGCACGCGCACCAAGGGAGCAGCGCAGCAGTCGCAGCCGCAACCGCTGGCGGCCTCTGCTGCGGGTGATGCGGATGACGCCAACCCCGATGCTGCGTACTTCTCTCCGCAGCAGGTATGTCCTCTTTTGTCCATCCAGCCAACCAGCTCATCCATCCAACCATCCATCAACCATCCATCCAACCATCCATCAACCATCCATCCAACCATCCATCAACCATCCATCCAACCATCCATCAACCATCCATCCATCCATCCATCCATCCATCCATCCATCCATCCATCCATCCATCCATCCATCCATGTCAGGCAAAAAAAAAGCGTGCAATATCAACTATTTCATCATCCATCTGTCGACTTTTGCTGTGCTCCTCCCTCCCACTTTACACCTCCCCAGGTGAAGGCATTCCGAGAGCTATCCCACTGGCCTGACATATACGAGAAGCTGGTTCGTTTCGTTGGGTGCCTCAACATATCAGTCCACTCCTCCTGAGCTCCTCTGTCTTTCCACACCTCCCCAGGTGGAGGCATTTAGGGAGCTATCCCGGCAGCCAGACATATACGAGAAGCTGGCTTGCTCCCTGGCTTTTAAGTTTACTCAAAAGTCGCCTCATCAAGAACCTGCCCTCTTCCCCTGTGCGCCTCCCCAGGTGGAGGCATTTAGGGAGCTATCCCGGCAGCCGGACATATACGAGAAAATGGCTTGCTCCCTGGCTTTTAAGTTTACTCAAAAGTCGCCTCATCAAGAACCTGCCCTCTTCCCCTGTGCGCCTCCCCAGGTGGAGGCATTTAGGGAGTTATCCCGGCAGCCGGACATATACGAGAAGCTGGCTCGCTCCCTAGCGCCATCCATCTATGAGCTGGATGACATCAAGAAGGGGCTGCTGTGCCAGGTAGGGGCGAAGTTAGGGTATGAGCGAAGGCGGCTGTTGGTTCTAGTGAGGGTTGATGTGAAGAGCAGGCTCGCTCCCTAGCCCCATCCATCTGTGAAATCGATGACATCAAGAAGGGGCTGCTGTGTCAGGTGGGGGGGAAGGGGTGCTGTGTGTGGTGTTTGCGTCGGCTCAAAAGGGGTGCTGTGTGGCGTTTGAGTCGGCTCAAAAGGGCTGCTGTGTGTGGCGTTTGAGTTGGCTCAAAAGGGCTGCTGTGTGTGGCGTTTGATTCGGCTCAAAAGGGCTGCTGTGTGTGGCGTTTGAGTCGGCTCAAAAGGGCTGCTGTGTGTGGCGTTTGATTTGGCTCAAAAGGGCTGCTGTGTGTGGCGTTTGAGTCGGCTCAAAAGGGCTGCTGTGTGTGGCGTTTGAGTCGGCTCAATAGGGCTGCTGTGTGTGGCGTTTGAGTCGGCTCAAAAGGGCTGCTGTGTGTGGCGTTTGATTCGGCTCAAAAGGGCTGCTGTGTGTGGCGTTTGAGTCGGCTCAAAAGGGCTGCTGTGTGTGGCGTTTGATTTGGCTCAAAAGGGCTGCTGTGTGTGGCGTTTGAGTCGGCTCAAAAGGGCTGCTGTGTGTGGCGTTTGAGTCGGCTCAAAAGGGCTGCTGTGTGTGGCGTTTGAGTCGGCTCAAAAGGGCTGCTGTGTGTGGCGTTTGAGTCGGCTCAAAAGGGCTGCTGTGTGTGGCGTTTGAGTCGGCTCAAAAGGGCTGCTGTGTGTGGCGTTTGAGTCGGCTCAAAAGGGCTGCTGTGTGTGGCGTTTGAGTCGGCTCAAAAGGGCTGCTGTGTGTGGCGTTTGAGTCGGCTCAGAAGGGGTCCTGTGTGTGGCGGGTAGTCGATTGTTATCCAGTGTGCAGTTCCGAGGCGATAGGACTGTGCTGTGAGAGTGAGGGGAATCCCACTCTCAGGCGCTGTCGTCTCTCAAGCTGGCTGCATAACCTCGACACAAGCTAACTGGCCTCCCTTAACTCTCTCCTAAAGGCAATCTCGCCTATGGGGTTCGTTTTGTTGTGCTAACCTACAGACTTGATGGAATTAAGTCCTCCGCAGCCCACCTGTAATTGATCTACGACTGTGCTGTGAGAGTGTGTGTGGGGGATCCCACTCAAAGGCGCTCTCGTCTCTTTTTCCCCGTGCTCTTCTCCTTCCACTCCTGCGGCTATTTGGTGGGTCGGTCAAATGCCCAACATCCAGGGTCCAGTTCCGAGGCGACATGAACTTGCTGCTGGTGGGGGATTCCGGCACCACGGTACCTTTGAGTTGACAACTCTAATCACCCTTCGTTCCCTCCCCCAGCTCTTTGGTGGGTCAATCAAGCGGCTATCCTCTAGGGTGCAGTTTTGAGGCGATTTGATCGTGCTGCTCGTGGGGGATCGCACGCTGATGTGTCTGAGCTGAGCATACTCTGGCCCCTCCTCTCCACTTCAGCTATTCGGAGGCTCAGTAAAACGGCTGTCCTCCGGGGTCCTATTCCGAGGCGATATGAACGTGCTGCTGGTGGGGGATCCTATGCTCAGGTCCCTTAAGCTCTTGTGCCCCCTTCCCGACTCTCTTCCCATCCTCCCTCTCCCAGCTGTTCGGCGGGTCGGTGAAACGCCTCTCTTCAGGGGTCCAATTCCGAGGCGACATGAACGTGCTGTTGGTGGGGGATCCGGGCACGAGCAAGTCGCAGCTGCTGCAGTACGTGCACAAGATAGCCCCGCGGGGGATCTACACTAGTGGCAGGGGGAGCAGTGCTGTGGGGCTGACGGCATACGTCACGAAAGACCCGGAGACCAGGGAAATGGTGAGCAGTAAATGCACTCTGTTGTTGCTTGAGTCGGTACGGGCAAGTCGCAGCTGCTGCAGTACGTGCACAAGATAGCAACACGGGGATCTGTATGGGTGGCAGAGGGAGCAGTGCTCTGGGGCTCACGGCTTAGTGACTAAGGATCCAGAGACAAGAGAAATGGTGAGCCATAGAGCTGATTGTTTGTTGTAACTTGAGTCAGCACAAGAGTTGCAGCTGCTGCAGTCTGTGCACAAGATAGTGCCCGGGGGGGTCTACACGCGCGGGAGAGGCAGCAGTGCCACGGGGCTCACGTCTTATGTGACCAAGGAACCCGGGACAAGGGAAATGGTGAGCGGAAGAGCTGGGTGTTGTTGAGTCAGCTCAAGAGTCGTAGCTGCTGCTGCGGGATGTCAGCCCAAGATAGCAGGGGAGCGGATAGTCTTTAAGTGGGAGAGGGAACCACGTTCCACGAGCACTGCAGTGCTGTGGTGTGGGGCTGACTGTGTTTTTTACCAAGAACCCAGGGACAAGAGAAATGGTGAGAAGAAGGGCTGTTGATCGGGAATCCAACGTAGCAACTTTCATGCTTCAGATGTTTTACTGCCCTATATGCTGCATGTGCGCCATGTTTCCGGCCCTTCTGTTCCTCCCCTGCCTCTCCCCTGCCTCTCCCCTGCCTCTCCCCTGCCTCTCCCCTGCCTCTCCCCTGCCTCTCCCCTGCCTCTCCCCTGCCTCTCCCCTGACCGCTCTAGGTGCTGGAGAGCGGGGCACTGGTGCTGAGCGACAGAGGCATCTGCTGCATCGACGAGTTTGACAAGATGTCCGACAACGCACGGAGCATGTTGCATGAGGTGGGTGGGATGATGGGTGTATGAGCGTGCTGCGTACATAAATTAGAACGTACAGATGCCATCTGCTGCATTGATGAGTTTGACAAGTTGTCCGTCAATGCGAGGAGCATGCTGCATGAGGTAGGGGGTGGTGCTTGCCCGTGTTTTTAGGTGAGGTGAGGTAAGGTGAGGTGAGGTGAAGTGAGGTGAGGTGAGGTGATGCGATGTGATGCGATGCGATGCGATGTAGTATGACCTGATTTGATGTGATGTAATGTGATGTGATTTGAGGTGATATTGATTTTTTCCTCTCTGACAGGTCATGGAGCAGCAGACCGTCTCAGTGGCCCGGGCGGGCATCATCGCGACCCTCAATGGACGCACATCTGTCCTTGCATGCGTGATTCCCTCCCTCCCTCTCGCATCAGGTCATGGAGCAGCAGACCGTGTCGGTGGCCAAGGCTGGCATCATCGCGACGCTCAACGCACGCACGTCCGTGCTCGCATGCGCCAACCCCGCTGGCTCACGCTACAACCCGCGCCTCTCCGTCATTGACAACATACAGTTGCCGCCCACTCTACTCTCCAGGTATCGTATTGGTTTCTCTTGTTCAATTTGTTTCTCTTTTTTTCTCTCTCTCAATTCTCTCACCTGTGCTTTTGTGCCCTGTGCTGTTTTCTTCTCACGCCAGGTTCGACCTCAACTGCCTGGTTCTGGGCAAAGCGGAGGAGCAATCTTTCTTTCTTTCTTTCTTCTCAATATCTTTTCCTTCTGTGCTGCTGCCCACTTTTGAGTCCACTAAAAAATGCTGCCCACTTTGAGTCGACTAGCAATCTCTCTTTCTTTCTTCTCAATATATTTTCCTTCTGTGCTGCTGCCCACCAGGTTCGACCTCATCTACCTGGTTCTGGGCAAAATTGGTTTTAGAGAATTCTCAAAGAACAATTTTCCCTGTGCTGTTTTCTTCTCACGCCAGGTCCGACCTCATCTACCTGGTTCCGGGCAAAGCTGGTTTTAGAGAACTCTCTAAGAACAATTTGCCTTGTGCTGTTTTCTTCGCTGACAAATCAGAGCAGCAATCCCTTTTCGTCCGTCCTGTCCTTTGTTGCTCCTTCCCATAACTTCCACTTTCCTTCTCAACTGTTCCCCCGCCAGGTTCGACCTCATCTACCTGGTTCTCGACAAAGCGGAGGAGCAATCCGACCGTCGGTTGGCCCGCCATCTTGTGGCTCTGCACTACAAGAACCCCGAGGTGCGTGTGCTACTACTACGCTGCTTGGTTGGCTTTCGAGAGACAATTTCCAGGTGCTTTCTCATTGCTCGCATGTGTTATTTGAGAGTCTAGAAAGGCCACCAGCCATCTCGTGGCTCTGAATTACAAGAACCCAGGGGTACTGTGTGCGGGACAGTGCGGTGCCGTGGGGTGCCATCGGGTGCTGTGGGTTGTCCTGGGTAGCAGGTGAATGCCCCTCTCCCCACCACCCATGTGAAACCACCCCTTGTTTTCCCTCCTTTTACCCCCAGGCCTCTGCAGCAGCCACCTTAGACGCAGTAGCAAAACTCACCTCCTACATCATCTACCAAGCGCGCACGCGCATTCACCCACGTCCTTTCCTCGCTGGCTTTCCGTTTCCCCCCTCCCCCATCTTTACCCCCAGGCCTTTTTGCCTCTGCCACTTGTAGATGTGCCAAACACTGACGTCCTACATCACCTATGCGGGCGTGCGCATTCACCCCGAGCAGCTAAGTGACACGGCGGCAGAGGAGCCCGTCTCCTAAACGCAACAGCCATGCATATCCGTTCCTTTTCGCCCCTCGTCTTGCGCCCCCAGGCTTCTGCAGCAGCAACCATCGATGTTGCAACCCTCACCTCGTACATCACCTATGCGCGCACGCGCATTCACCCAGAACTGAGCGACGAGGCGGCGGAGGAGCTGGTGAACGCGTATGTGGAGCTGCGAGGGAGAGGATCGGGGCGAAAGGTGAGGGGTTGGTTGGGAAGACAGCTACCGGAGAAGGGCGGTCAGAGTGACAAGGCGGCAGAGCAGCAGGTGAACGCGTATGTGAAACTGAGGGGGTAGAGGTCGGGGCGAAAGGTGAGTGTGAGTGTGTGTGTGTTGCAGGGGAGAGGGAAAGAGGAGGAGCATGAGGAGAGGGAGCCTCCACAGATGGTGCTTCATGCGTCCATACATACATGCGTCCATACATACATGCGTGCACACACGCATCCTCCTGACATGTCCCTCCTTGCGATTCTCTTCTCCCTGCCACGTCATTACGTGCCACATGCCACGTCACCCATACCAGGTCATCACTGCAACGCCACGTCAGCTGGAGAGTCTCATCCGCATCAGCGAGGCACTCGCACGCTTGAAGCTGGCGTCCACGGTAAGGGCGGTGAGGAGGGAGATATCTTGCTGGGCCTAATCAGGCCTGAAGCTGGCGTCCACGGTACGGTTGGAACTTTGAGGTGACCTGTGAACGCGGTTAAGGCGGGGTGGTGAGGGGGCTAGTGACTTAGGAGTGGGGCTGTGGTACGGTTGGTGGAAATATCCATGGGCCATGGCTGGTGACGGCAGGTTAGCCATATCCACCAGTCGGTCATGGATCCCAACACAGGCATCATGTACATGGACCTCATTACCACGGGGGTGTATACCCGTGTGCCTACCCACCCCTGTGCATCGTCCTCGTCCTGGCCAGGTGACTCAAGAAGGCGTGACTGAAGCGAGGAGGCTCATGGATGTGGCGATGCAGCAGTCAGCCACTGACCCCAACACGGGGACCATTGACATGGACCTCATCACCATGGGGGACGAAAGGCTCGTGTACAGAAGTCCGACCCCACTCTCATGTGCACCCGCTGTGATGCCAGGTGACCCATGAAGACATGACGGGGGCAAGAAGACTCCTGGATGTGGCGATGCAGCAGTCGGCCACGGATCCCAATACAGGCACCATCGACATGGACCTCATCGCCAGGGGAGTTTCTACCCATGTGCCTACCCTATGCATCCCTCCTCATCCCTGCCAGGTGACTCACGAAGTCATGACAGAAGCAAGAAGGCTACTGGACGTTGCGATGCAGAAGTCGGCCACGGACCCCGACACAGGCACCATCGATATGGACCTCATCACCACCGAGCTTTAAGCTCTCATGCACATAACACCACTCGTCCGTCCTCATCCTGGCCAGGTGACTCAAAAAGGCGTGACTGAAGCGAGGAGGCTACTACCTGTGTGCGTACCCCTGTGCTGTGCATCCCTCCTCGTCCCTGCCAGGTGACTCATGAAGACGTGACTGAAGCAAGGAGGTTATTAGATGTGGCGATGCAGCAGTCGGCCAACGCCACTGATATGGATCCCAACACGGGGACCATCGATATGGACCTCATCACCAGGGGGGTGTCTTGAGACGGGAGACCGCATGGGAGAGTGCACAGCACACACATCTCTGTACCTGATCCTACCCACGTTCGTCCTGTTCCCGTGCTAGGTCACCCACGAGGATGTGACAGAGGCACGCAGACTCCTGGGTGTGGCAATGCAGCAGTCAGCCTCGGACCCCAACACGGGCACCATCGACATGACCTCATCACCACGGGGGTGTCTACCTGTGTGCCTACCCCTGTGCTGTGCGTCCCTCCTCGTCCCTGCCAGGTGACCCACGAAGACGTGACCGAAGCTCGAAGGTTATTAGACGTGGCAATGCAGCAGTCGGCCACGGACCCCAACACGGGCACCATTGACATGGACCTCATCACCACGGGGGTGTCGGCCAGCGAGCGAGCCAAGCGCATGCAGCTGCAGGAGGCTCTGCTCTCTTTCCTGCAGGATAGAGCCACTGCCTCCCGCTCCTCCTTCCGAGCGCCTCAGGTACGCATTGAGTCACATGGTGGCCAGTGAGCGAGCCAAGCGCCCACAGCTGCCGGAGGCGTGCTGTACTTCCTGCAGGACAGGGCCACTGCCTCCCACTCCTCCTTCCGAGCACTTCATGTAAGGTCTGGTGCCTCTGGTATTGCTGTATGTTTGTGCCCAAGAGAAAGAGCCAAGCTCATGCAGCTGCAAGAGGCGCTGCTCTCCTTCCTGCAGGATAGGGCCACTGCCTCCCGTTCCTCCTTCAGGGTCCCACAGGTAACGTCGGGAGGCCTCTGGTAGGTCGTACTCGGTTCATGTGGCCCAGTGAGCGAGCCAAGCTCACACAGCTGCAGGAGGCACTGCTCTCCTTCCTGCTGGACAGGGCCACTGTGTCCCGCTCCTCTTTCCGAGCTCCCCAGGTACTTCTCGAGTCAGCTCGTAAGAGCGCATAGTGGTTAGCGAGCAATTCAAGCGCATGCAGCTGCAGGAAGCATTGCTTTCTTTCCTGCAGGAGGACAGGGCCACTGCCTCCCGCCCCTCTTTCAGGGCCCCACAGGTTACTTCTGGTGCTCCCAAAAGCAAGCCAAGCGCATGCAGGTGCACCCATTTCACTGGCCTATGTTGTCTCCTCTAGCCTTGCCCTAGAAGCTTTTTCTAGTCCTTTTTAAAAAATCTCCCTTTGAGCGCCTCAGGATATCAAGTGCACTGTGTTGTCAGCTTCTGACCATCCACTCTAATTTGTCAGCTCTGAGTTTACTCAAACGTCTCCCTTTCAGGACGTCCCTTCAGCCTCGAAAGCATCCCTTTCAGCCTCAAAAGCATCCCTTTCAGCCTCAAAAGCATCCCTTTCAGCCTCAAAAGCATCCCTTTCAGCCTCAAAAGCATCCCTTTCAGCCTCGAAAGCATCCCTTTCAGCCTCAAAAGCATCCCTTTCAGCCTCAAAAGCATCGCTTTTGAGCCTCCAACGGCTCCCCTTTAGCCTCAGTAGTCTCAGAAGTCTCCCCTTTTGTCTGAGCTTTGTTGCGCCTCAAGTGTTGCACCCACCCATGTTGTTTCCCTTGGCTGTACACCAAATGGCTTCTGTGTGTATGCTTCAACGTTACCTCTATGAGTTGCACCCAGTTATTGTTAGAATATTCTACCTTCATTCTATTAGCCTACATTGTTTCATTGTCTTAGGTACTTATACGCACCCCACTAAAGTGTATACACCCAAGTTGGGGGTTGGGTTCCCAACCTTGTTGGGTTCCCAAATTGGTTGGGCTCCCAATTATTGGAACCCCCAAATAATCCCAACCAAGATTATTGGACCCACCAATAATGTTGGCTATGATTATTGGAACCCCAATAAGTTGGCCAACCCAACTTATTGGATTGACCAATAATCGTGGTCACCTCCCAACCAAACCCCCCTCCTACTCCTCACCTATGTATACTCGCTCCTTTCCTAATACAAGTAACTACTTTTTCACCTTTTCTCACACGTATGTCCCTCTGCGCACATGTGTAGTCCTTTCCACCCGTTTGAATCCATTTGCACCGCTTTTGCAGGTGTGGGAGGACCTACGGCAGCAGTCGTCCGTGCCTGTCACACTCTTTGAGGTGAGTTATTTGTTTAGGCCAGTTGGAAAGGGCTCCTCTAAAGGCAACCATCCGTGCCTTGGTGGAGTAACCTTGGAAAAGGCGCCCGGCACCAAGCATTTCAAATAGCAAATATCCACGGTTAAATATTAAAACCACAGGCTGAAGTAGCATAGGGGGGGCTTCAAGAGCGCCGTTCTTGAAGATGGTTCTTTTGAAAAAAAACGGCTTCCCAGTACGATTTTGCGAGGTTTTTGGGCAGCTGAAAAAATGATAGAAACGCAGTGGCGCCGATTTGACGCATGTGCGACGAGGCGGGAAACGCGTGCGCGACTCAATTGACTTTTTGCCAACTTGGTGAAACGAAAAAAACATACTGTACCTCGGGAGGATTCGGCGTACGTGTTTAAGCTTCACATTACGAAGCTCCCTCGACCGCGACTCGCGACTAGGGTTAAGGTGAACTGTGCAACTTGTGTGCCAAACAGCCACATGGATTGCGCAAAATGCGACCCAGGTAAACCTTGGGTTAAAAACCTATTGCACACCCATGGAGCTCTTGAAAAAACTGAGCTGTGTGAGCGGTCAGTCGCAACTTGATCCGCCTAGCAGGGCTTCAGATTGGATTTTGAGGGGCTGTTGGCTCAGGGTGCCCCCAAAAGGAGCCCCCGTTTTTCAGGGTCGGGTTTTGGAAGTTGCAATTTTTTTCAGGGTAAAATTTTTCGAAGGCTGAAAAATCAGGACTGAAAATTTTCAGAGCTGAGATGATAGGTTGAACCTTGACGATTTTTTAGGGTGGGTAGGATTTTAACCTAGCACATTATGTTAGACATGGCATGTTTTGTCAGACCAAAAAAAAAAAGCCTGACTCATCAGGTACATTTTTTAGGTTTATGATTCTTAGATCAGATCGGACTTCATTGCATACAAATTCTCACACTACTAGCGTGATTTTAGCCAAGGACCAGTCACGCCCCCCACACCTGCTCCAACTCGCGTCAGACTGCCTGCGTGATTTTGGCGAAGGACCAATCACGCCCCTCACATCTGCTCCAACGCGCGTTACCTGTGTAATTTTGCCTAAGGTCCAGTCACGCCCCTCACACGTGCTCCAGCTCGTGTCAAACTGCCTGCGTGATTTTGGCGAAGGACCAATCACACCCCTCACATGTGCTCCAGCTTGCGTCACCTGCGTCATTATGGCTAAGGACAAGACACGCCCAAGCCTATTTTATCGGAGTAATTTACTCTGTTTCTCTGAAAATCATAGTCGTTTTTGAAAACTACTCTAGGGGCCCTGAGTAAACAAAATGAAATATTCCTTTTACTCTGATTTTATCAGAGTAAACCTTCGTACCACTCTGATAGTCAGTGTATAGGGGGGATACCCGTGAAATTGTCCCCGCCCCCTGTTCCTAGCCGTGCCCCCATGTCCCGCAGAACAGGGCATGTCACGCGCACCAGTGAAATCATAGCCTGGACTGTGCTCAAGGCTATGTGAGGGGGCCAATTGTCCCTTCACCAAAAATACCAAGCCATTTGTGCTCGAAGGGGGAGGGGAGTGCAAGATTCCCCTTCCCCGGCCCTGCTGTGTCGACCTCCCCACCAGCTCGATTCCCTCTGCCCCTGCAATCTCTCGATCCTTCCCCTTCGTTTCCCCCCTCTCTCGATCTTGCCTCGCGCGTACAGATGACCCTGCTTCAGAGAGTTACGTAAAAAAAACCTCTGCATTATCAGTGAAATTTTTTTATAAGTAAAAAAAACCCTGGAAAATCAGAGAAACCATTGGGGAGCACTCTGTTTTTCAGAGTAATGGAAAAAGGTACTCCCTGATTTCAGAGTAGTAAAAATCCAAAAATTGGCCCTAGACACGCCCCTCACAGCTGCTCCAACTCGCCTCGACCAGTCAGATAGAATTCTGTTTCAGGGTGGAAATCCGTTAAGGCTGATGATTCAGGATGACAAAAACAAGAACATACAATATTTCAGGCCTGCTCAAATGACAACCCCTAAAATTCAGGCCTAGGAAAAATCAAAAGCTGAAAAAACAGGACGACCCTAAAAAAAACCCTGATATACAGCATTTCAGGGCATTTTGTCCTGACTTAAGAAGCCCTGCCGCCGAGCATCTGACGCCAAATCAATCGTCGCACACCAATAACGTAGCAAAGCTACTTCGCATTACAGACAATTTCAAGTCCCATACCCTTTCGGAAATAGAAAACGCACCAAAGGGTCTGCCCCAAAACGAAACATTTATTCAAGCTCCACAGGTGTGCTATTCTAGCCTGTGGTTTTAACCCATTTACCTGCCGTCTTGATTTGCCTTGCCCTTGTTGTTTAAGGTTCGGGAAGCTCTAGGGCGGCTGCATGGTGAAGGCAAGGTGGTGTTCATTGACGATACAGTTAGAGTGTCATGACATTGTGGTTGATTTCATAAAGATTATTGACATCCCATAGGCTTTCATGATGCTGGCGTGAGACCATCTATACCATTGATTACAAACAAAAGCCCCCTGCCTTCTGTCTGGACTGGAGCAGTATGCATGTATCAAGTTGGTAATTGAATTTACCATTTTAGGGCGAAGTCCTATGAACAAGGATCAGAATCAAGTTGGATCAGAATCATGCAGTACTGTGCGGTGCGAGTGTTTGAATCGCGTTTCAGTGTGGTTCATTTCAGTTACGCGCGTTCCTGATTCTGATGCAACTTTGTAGGAATTCGCCCTACAAAGATTAGATAAGAGGGTGATCATCCCATGTTAGATCTGTTGACCACCCTTGATACGTGGTTTATTTGATTCAATCCCCAGTCTAAAATAGCACAGGGGACATTCAAGTGAGCCCTTGTTGAATATTTTGTGTGCACCACTTTTGATTCACTTCTGATTTTTAGGGGCCCCCGAACGCAGATAGACGCGAACAAACACATATGTGCGACTGCAATGCAACTGACCTGACGACCGCCGCCCTACGACCCGGTGGGCGATGTCGCAACTATTGCAGCTCAGTTCACGATTCTGCAGACGAGTGCGTATTTGGCACGCACGCAACGAAACTATAGTGCCCTGGCTGGGGACTGATTTTGTTATGAGCGTTTAACCAGAGTAGCACAGAATCGAATGTCGAGATTCAGAATAATCGAATGTGGTACAATGGAATGACGAAGCTGTCAACATATTTATATATTGTTATAGGCTAGATAGGTGCATGCTTCTAGAGAGTACATCACCGTAGCACAAAACCTGCCTGTATGCCTCATTCTAGTCATTGCGCTATTATGAGATGGTATCTCGCTACGTTAGGTCCACCCTCCCCGCTTACGCTACTGCCCATAGCCCCTAGCAATAGCTCTAGCCCGTGTCCTAGCTGTGCCCTAGCCCGAGCCGCGCCAGCACCGTCTGCGCCGCGCCCGCGCCGCCCGAGCCTGAGCCTGCGCCGTCCGCGCACGCGCCGGCCTCGCCAGACCGCACCGGCCCCGCCACTTCGCATCGGCCCCTGCCACTTCGCGCCGGCCCCGTCACTTCGCGCCGACCTCGCCACTTCGGGCCAGCCCCTGACGCCGAGCTGCCGAGCCCCCGAGCCGCGCCGCCGAGCCGCCGTGCCGCCAAGCTGCCACGCCGCCGAGCTGTCGAGCCGTTGAGTCACCGAGCCACCGAGCTGCCGAGTAGCTGCGCCGCTGAGTAGCCGAGCCGCCAAGCCGCCGCGCCGCCGTGTCGCTGTGCCGCCCTGACCCACCGACCCTGGTTCCCTCCTCTGCGCCGGCGCTCCCGCAGGCCGTCTTCACCGCCGCTCTCCACCGCTCCCCACCGCTCTCTCCTCCTCCTCCTCTCGCGGCGGTCCGCTGCTGCAGCCGTGGTGATGGCTGACGCTGTGCTCCGCCTGGACGCGGAGGGTCGGGCGATCGACTTTGAGGCGTGGCTCGCCAACCTCCACCGCTCGCTGAGGGGACAGCGCTAGGATGGCCATTCTCTGGTCGTCCACGTCGATGGTAAGATCCCCTGCCCTGACCCACCTACTGCCCTCTCTGACGCCCCCATGCCTGCTGAGCCTGAAGCCTTTGCAGCTGCTGAGCTCGCCCGCTTTGTCTGGGAGTCGCGTAATGCAGTCGTGCAGCTTGCTATAAGTTGCGCCCTCCCCCTGTCTGAGCGCCCCCGCTACTACGCCTTAGAGATTGCGCATGAGTAGTTAGATGCCGTCATTGCGCGCTATTCCACTTCCTCTTCCGCCTCTGCCGGCCGTCTTCTTCTCCCCCTCCTCTTCCCTGACCTTGCATCATTTCCCACTGTCGCTGATCTCGCCACTCACCTGCGCACGCTAGAGGCCAGCTACCGCGCTGCTAGCTCTGAGGCCCAGCTCCTTGTACTGCCTTTCATAACTAGCACATTTTATGGTGAGAAATAGTTGAGAGCTCCACCGCTATGAAGATTAATAGAGCACAAACATGGTAGAAAACCACATCTATAACTCTTGTGCCGATATTCAGTAAGATTGACAACAAAATATCAGCCGGCACATGCGTGCGTGTTTGTCGATTTCGTACACAATTATTTCACCACCAAATAAGATGGAAGAACAAAATATTACATGCTCGATACGAACAGCAGGTGCGTCATGTAAGAATCGCCAACAACTTCACGAAATTTGTCGGAAACATTCATGCGTCCTACTTTTCCACTGTCGATAATAACGGCGGAAGGAAAATAAGTGTGGCACAAGCGGTTTCCGACAACAGTAAAAATGTGCGAGACCAAACTAATAGTACGTGTCGCATAAAAACAATAAGCACGCATATAATCTACAAAACACATCGAGCATGCCCCCCGCCCTGATGCAAGCACACTAACATGGCACATGTGTTCAACGAGAAATTGCAACAGAGTGCGCCGACGGCGTGCAAACACACATGGGGAATTGCATATAACAACCAAGGCAGTGATGCATGCATCAACGAGGACACAAGAATGCTTCCGTGCAGCAGCGGCCGAGATTGACATGTACACTCCGGGAGCAAAGCTGCCAAATTGACAACGACAATCTCGAGTTGCCTGTAGCACTTGGCATACACGACCGCGCCCAGATGCACGCACACCAAAACGATACATGTGCACTCGACAAATTGCAACGGAGTGCGCCAACGAAGTGCCACACACACGAGGTATTGCACAAGAGGAAGTGATGCATGCAACAAGGACGATGCATGAATGCTTCCAAGCTGCAACCGAGATTGACATGTACACTTCGGGAGAAAAGCTGTCAAATTGACAACGAGAATCTCAAGCGGCGTGTGGCACTTGACATATATGCACCCCGCCATGATGCACGCGCACCAAAACGACACATGTGCACCCAACAAGTTGCAACAGAATGCGCCAACGGCGTGTCAAAACACACGAGGAATCGCACAAGAGGCAGTAATGCATGCAACAAGGAGGATGCACGAATGCTTCCATGCTGCAGCTGAGATTGACATGTACACTTTGGGAGCAAAGCTGCCAAATTGAAAATGACAAGCTCGAGCTGCGTGAGGCACTTGGCATACATGCACCACGCCCCGATGCACGCACACCAAAACGTCACATGTGCACCCGACAAATTGCAACAGAGTGCACCGACGGCGTGCCAACACACACGGGGTATCGCAAATCACAATATAAACCAAAACTATGCTTCAAGCCAAACTTTTCAAACACATCACTCCAATACAAAAACAGACCCGTTAAGATCAAAACCCCACACAACGATGGACAAACAGAACCCCATGTAGTATACAATAACAAGAATAACGGAATCGAAAAGACACAGCGAAGACATGCATGAAGAAGAAACGAAGAGAATCAGAGAGCACACAAGCGATGCATACACATTCATAGAGCACACAAGTGATGCATCACAAAGCAAATCAACCAAAAGATAGAAAAAGTTTATTTACTTATCAGTATTGCTGACCAAGCTAATGCATTGACCCTCCCTCCCATCCCCCCCTTTTTTACCCTGTTCCTCCCTCCCTCCTCCCCTCCTCCCATTCTCCTTCCCTCCCTCCTCCCCTCCTCCCCTCCTCCCTTTCTCCTTCCCTCCCTCCTCCCCTCCTCCCCTTCTCCTTCCCTCCCTCCCCTTTCAAATCCAACATGCCACCCCCCCCCCACAACCCCCCTCACCCTCTTCCCCTCCCCACTTCCTCCTCCCTGCCCTCTAATATGGCAGTGCATGTAGATGTTAACATAGAGCCTAGACAGGTCGCCGCGGCAGCGTGGCGAGATGATGTCGCAGCGGCCGCGCGGCGAGGCTGCCGCGGCAGCACATGGAGGCTGCCATGGCGGCGCGAAAGTGAAAGGATAGGAGAGAGTACACGGCGGAAGCGTGAATAGGAGGCTCAGCAGGATCTTCCTACTCTGATACCATATTGAAAGGAGCTAAGAAGCTAGCTAGGCATGAGACTGGCGAGAGGTTTTAGCTAGGGAGAAAAGTGAGGAGAGAAAAGATGGTTGGGCTAAGGTTGTCAAAGCCCTCACGTTGGATGCGCGATGCTTCGCTCTAAGGTGAGTAGAAATCACTGCGTACACACGACAAACAGAATCAGGGATTGCATAGGGCACCACGGCATGGGGCATCAGACAGAGTACGGAATACTGAGGTATGCTGAACAGAAACTTTTAAGACCAAGCGCTCGAGTGGTACTTCTAATAAAGAAGTCTGAAACAGAATAACAGGGCGACGTGCTTGTGAAAGAACGGAAACAAGAGACAGCAGAGGGAACAACTTTGGGATACAGATTGGGGTTGGAGGCTTTAGTTGTGAATTTATCGGTGAGCTCGCGCAGTACTCACAGCTTCGTGCCAGAGCTTTGGGCCGTAAACAGTGCGCCTGAAAGAGAACTTTGTTTCGTCGACTTTCAAGCCTCTCATGGAAAAGGTTAAGGCCAATATAACCGAACCCTGACTTCATTAAGTGCACGCGCCAGTTTATTGCATGCCAACCGTCCACGCCCTGACATGTACTCTGTAGGCACGAACTACGACAGATGGTTGGCTGGCGCTCGAGAGTGGTTGCGATGCTCTCATTTGTCAAGGTAGCCAACCTGAGTCACTTTCATAACCCGTTTAACAAGCTCCGTCAAAGCCATCAACTTTTTTCGAACCAATTCTATATATCCCTTATTTTAGTAGTGTACCCTCGGAACCATTCAAACGAGAGTTCCGGACCTCGCGTCGAGACTTGCTATTGGTGCTGAAGAAAGCTGTGGCACGGCCCGAAGCATTACTTCAAAACAACAATCGCGAAGCAGTTTTTGATTGGTTGTTCCGTTTTGTCGCGAAACGACGTGGACTTTTTGGGAGCAGTAACAGTTTCGCCCCACCACAAAGTAGCCAGCGGGACGCGAACGGGGCAGCGGGGTGAACGGTGCCAGCGGGTCCTACGGGGCCAGCGGGGCGCACGTGGCTGGCGGGGTGCGACGGGGCCAGCAGGGCTAGCGGGGCCAGTGGGGCGCACGGGGCTGGCGAGGTGCGACGGGGCCAGCAGGGCTAGCGGGGCCTAACGGGGCTGGCGGGGCGCGACGGGGCCAGCGGGGCTAGCGGGGTCTCGCAGGGCTGGCGAGGCGCGAAGGGGCCAGCGGGGCTAGCGGGGCACGACGGGGCCAGCGGGGCTAGCGGGACCTAGCGGGGCCGGTGGGGCGCATGGGGCTGGTGGGGTGCGACGGGGCCTGCAGAGCTAGCGAGACCTAAGGGGTTGTACTCTATATAAGCATGCACCTAACTAGCCCAGATTTGTTCCGCGCAACACCCTATGGTCTCGATTTCATATAACCAGTCCACTTTCCGACACCGCGATCATTCAGAATTTGTCTCAAGTATACTTGGGTAAAGTTGGATATTTCATCTTGCACCCTCTCGCGAGCCCTCGTACTCAGAGTACCTACGTTACCTAGTACCAAACGCATTGCCTTAGAAAATATGATACACAGGCTTTAACCACATTCAGGCAAAGGTCCCATACAGATTCCCTCATGTCGCGCTTCAAGGGCTCTAGTAAACAAGGCCTCATAAGCAGAGAATGCTTAGAGGCTCTATTGTATTCTCGTGAAATTTCGTAGGTCTCTTGTAATCCTCTCTATTATAACCGGAATCATGTGTATTCAGCAGCGGGTCAAAGTTTTATTATTTTGGAACGAGCCTGGACCACAGAATACAATCCCCAGGCCGGGAACACGATTTTTGTACTCTAGTGCCACACCATTTTCAAACTTCATTCGCCATGGTGATGAATGGGCGGGCGGGTGGGTGATTGGGGGGAGGCTGGGAGGGAAGCGTCGTGACAAATTTCAGAGATTCAACGGAGCCTTCGGAGAAAGGACGGGCTCCGGGAATCGCGAAGAGCTGACCAAGCAACATCAGCGGGGGCTGCGGGAGATGACCCATGTAGGTCTCGATCTCACATCACATGGGGAAGGGCCGACCATTCAATTCAAGCGGGGAAATGAAAAATGGATCCTCGCCCCGCCAGAGGCATGAGCAAAAAAGGTCCGGCAGCTTTCTGCCCCGAGACCTTGCCTCCGAACCTGTGATACATCGCCTTCGTCGTACAACACGTAATAGTTTTGTTCGCGACACAGCTCAGGTTTGTGGGGCGCGTCGTATCGTGACTCTGTGAGGTGGGACATTTATACGAGCAGTGTTTTAGGGCATTAAAAAAAAAAAAACAACTAAAACCCGTAGGGCCCTCACATGCGACTCGGGGTGGCATCAACCCTAAAATCGCAAATGAGCTGCGTGCTTAGGGTTGATGCCATCTCGAACGGGATTCGGTCCCAAATGGGTTTTATGTTTTTTTCCTTTTCGATGATAGACGTTTGCTGGTAAATACTAAAAATAAAACGGAGTGTATTACAGGTTCGGAGGTAGACGGACCTTTTTTGCTCACACCCCTGGCAGAGCGAGCACCCTGTCTGATCATATCCCATTCAAGCGTTCAAGAACTGCAAGTTTTGGAACTCGGGGTCGTTCGCTGGTAATTCTGACGGGAAGGGGAAGGGGCACGTGGAGTGGCGTTCTCCTGGGCGAACAGAAGGTATGTGGCCGAACGACTTCGATAGATTTATTTGTGCCAAGACAGTCAAGTTAAATTATGGCAGTGGTCAAACTTGCAGAAACGAGTAAAACAAATTTGCCGACGATGTGCAGTGACACCTTTCAGAGGTAGGGACCCTCCACGAAAAAATCCCCGACCGTTCAAATTCGAATCGGCCACGCGACTGCACTGGCCAGCTCTGCGTGTGATGCCGACCCCCCTCCGCTCAATACCACGACCTTGGTGGTATGTGTTGTGTGGGGGGTATGGCACTAAGTTTGCCCCTGAGCTCTGGGCGGTGAATTTTGGGCTTTTTTTGGGGGGAACGGGAAGAGGCACGTGACTTGGGAGTTCTAGGTTTGGATATTGATTACTTAACCAAACCCGTCGTCGCGCACTAAACTTTCGGTGACCCAACGAGCCCTCGTTTTATGTTCCGCATGCTAACCCTTCCTCTCTGTGCCACTGTAAAATTGGCAAACGAACGGTCCCCTCGTGTCAGCAACTTTTCGTGTGCAGGCTGTCACGAGGTGGCTGGGCACGAGCTGCAGAACAATCCCACATTTGACCCACTGCGTTTTGGTTTGGGCATTGGGCAGCTGTACAGTCTGACCCACAGGACTGAAATTTGTGGCCGAAGTACTGTACCGTAAAAAGAGCTGGAAGAGCAGGGCAGGGGCGTGAGAGTTGAGGGGGGGAGGGGGAGGGGGAGGAGGGGAAGGGGGAGAGAGGCAGAAAGATGAGGTGAAGTAGGACATAGCAAATGCAGAACTGTTGCTGTTTTCAGCACATGTCCAGAATTTTGGGGGCAAACCACTTCCCTTTCTGACCGGCCCGTGCCAGACGCCCCTCCTCACTTGGGTCAACCCTTGCCCTCAGTCCTCATTTGGGTCTTCTGGTCTGGAGGAGCGCTGCTTCGGTCAAGTTCGCCTAACAAACTGTCACCAGCGCTGCACCAGCTCTGACTTTGACATGCGAGCAACCCTGCTTTGCGTTCAAGGCAGGCAGGGGGGGACCCTCTGACTGTAGTTCCAGCCGCGCTGCCAGCAGCAGCACACCTGTCCGGCTGCCTGAGCTGGCAGAGTAGACTGTCTCGTCCGTGTTGGATTACGCCAGCGTCGAATATTAAAAACCCCGAGTTAACCGCAGTTCTAATGTCGCAACATCCCACATACGTCTCGTGTGCCGTAGTTTTCCCGCAGTTCCATCTAGCCCAGTAGCATGGCGTGCTCGACCGAAAATATCCCATCCCTCGCACATCGTCCGCACCAAACGCTGCAGATCATGTCACCGTCATCTCTCCCGAGACAAACGTGCTGTAAGAAAGCCGCGCGAGGCGATTCCTGCTGCTGTTCCTTTCCGTGCTGCCCCAATCCCGAGACCTGCTGCCGGACGCCGAGCTACTTCTCGCTAATCCATCATCCGCCGGCGCGTCCTAGCGCGGCAGCCGTCGCAAGTGCGTCGCCACCGGCTGCGACGGCGGGAATTTCGGCGGGCGGCGCGGCACGCCCCGTGGGTGGAGTTTCTAGCCCTCAACGGGTTATTAGGTCAACGAAAAAGCCCGTCGAAATTCCGGTGCTAACCCTGCCCCGCGGTTCCCATTTCGCCGATTTCTGCGACGACGCCGCTAACCAATTGAGGAGTCTAAACACCGCGGAAGTCGACTCGACCTCGGAGGAGGAGGACGACATGCAGAGTTGGAGCAAGGAGCTCAGCGACACGATGATGGCGGCACGTCTATCATGCTCTGACAGCCCCGCCAGTACCGCATTCGCACCTACTTTTATTACCGCTCTGAACCACTCGGCGCCGGTCTCCGCCGCGGCGACTGACGCCGTCGCCCAGCCGATGAGCGAATGGGAGGAGGAGTTTCTGCAGCAGCTGGAGCTCTCCATGGTGGATTCGCGCGGGAGGCTCGTCGAGTCGCTCATGGACAGCAGCGTGAGACCGCGGTCAGCGGCGTCTCGCAGCAGCAAGGCGGGTTTTATTCGCCCGCGGAGCAAAAGCCATGACAGGGCGTCTCAGCAGAGACGGTCGTCTGCGAATCAGGTGCCTGAAAGGCCCAGGCGCGCTGTTAGTCAGGGGAGTGGACTGACGAGGCCTCGCAAGCTGTGGCAATGGCTGCTGAACGGACCTGCGTCCCCCAGATGAAAAGCGTTTCATCACGTGCTATGCTAGCATATTTTGATTTTCCTGGCTTTGTTTACTTGTTTATTGTAGAGTCGGCGCCAGGGCCCTAGATTGGTTTTGAGGCTTCCTGATCCATCAGGATTCTCCCTGCAGAAAAGTCTGAATTTTCAGGGTCCCCAAAATAAAAATCCTGAGCCATCAGAATTACTTCAAAAAAAAAAACTGATTTCTCGATCTTTTTGTACATGCTTTAGTTAATGAATTATGTGTGTTCAAGTCATGTTTGTTGGGGGTGCTGGGAATTCGTAGCGAATTCGCGCGTATGGGTGGGGCGAGATTGGGGGATGTGTCAAACATGTGTATTTGTCATGTTTGTATAGACTGTATAGGGTAGCCTCTTAGAGGGTACAACACTTAGGTATATCTGTGTGTACCCTCTCTCTAACATCATTCACTTCTTCAATTTTGATATGGTATCACGCGTAGGTAGGATCCCCCCCCCCCCCACCTACCGCTTCCGCTCGCCCCCTAGCCCCGTCGCGACCCCCCCTAGCCCCGTCGCGCCCTTCCTGGGCCCCGTCGCGCCCCCCCCTGGGCCCCGTCGCGCCCCTTCCTGGGCCCCGTAGTGCCCCTCCTGGGCCCCGTCGCGCCCCTCCTGGGCCCCGTCGCGCCCCTCCTGGGCCCCGTAGTGCCCCTCCCTGGGCCCCGTAGTGCCCCTCCTGGGCCCCATAGCACCCCTCCTGGGCCCCGTAGCGCCCCTCCTGGGCCCCGTCGCGCCCCTCCTGGGCCCCGTCGCGCCCCTCCTGGGCCCCGTAGTGCCCCTCCCTGGGCCCCGTAGCGCCCCTCCTGGGCCCCGTCGCGCCCTCCCTGGGCCCCGTAGCGCCCCTCCTGGGCCCCGTAGCGCCCCTCCTGGGCCCCGTAGCGCCCCTCCTGGGCCCCGTTGCGCCCTCCCTGGGAACCGTCGCGCCCCTCCTAGGCCCCGCAGTGCCCCTCCTGGGCCTCGTAGTGCCCCTCCTGGGCCTCGCCTGGGCCCTGTCATGCCCCTCCTGGGCCCCGTCACGCCCTCAGGCCCTCTCGCGCCCTGCCCGGCCCCGTCGCCCCCTGCCCGGCCCCGTCGCCCCTGCCTGGCCACGTCGCACCCGCCCGGCTCCGCCGCACCAGCCCGGCCCCGTCGCGCTCGCCCGGCCCCGTCGCACCCGCCCGGCCCCGTCGCCCTCGCCCGG